TATATATTTATATTTAGAAATAGACCTTTTTAACACATGGCCAAAATGTAAACTCACCACACCTGTTAAAAACTGTACAATTTCCTTTAGGTTCCAACAAGTGCTCTATGTATGTACAAGGGCTTCCCTAAATGTATAAAAATTGACTGCATAGTTCAGGTAGGTCCTCATGTAATATAGTGTTGGTAAATCTCAAGTGTATTTTACAAAGAATTGTATATTCAGCTTAAAACGTGCATGGTGACCCTCACAAAACAGAAAATACCTGATTCTGCAACCTCAGCAATTGGAACTCCTTGTTCATAAGCCATGAATCCAAGGACGGAAAATATGGCAAAACCGGCCACAAAGCTGGTGCCGCTATTCAGGCAGCAAAGCAAGAGGCAGTCTCTGTAAAGCAAACCAGAAACGATCAAATTAGTGGAATAAGCAATAACATTTCTCTAAATCTAATTTAGTCTCTAACATTCCTCTAATGAGGTCTAGTGACTGCTGACAATTGACCGTGAAAATGAACAGCTGTGACCAAGTATCAAGCAATGAGTACACAGTATTTATCACACCGTTCATGGTTAGAATACAGGATTAGAATGAATTTATTGTACACTATGAGAAATATACAAATTATAGTCTATGATACAGTTGTCTTTATTTATCAGTACCTACATATGAAAAGTTTATATTAACACAGGTATGTTACACATAACAACAATTATATATGTTTCCCAGCTACCTCAAGAGGCTAAAGAAGCATACTTCTTGTGCATTGTGAATCCACAAACAAAGAGGGTTATGCACAAAGCTGCCAAGGGATCAGCCATAGCTCCGGCTGATCCTTTGGCTAGCTTCGGCCGCCGGAGCCCTTTGGTTCAGTAGAACCGAAGGGCTGATGTATGAGCTATTCACTATAGCCCGTATAGCTCCCGAAGCTGGCCGAGTGGTTCAGCCGAGCCAGAGGCATAGGCTTCAGCTCGACTGAGCCAAAGTGAAACCAGAAGTGGGGCTTTCGGCCGGTCAAAAGCCTCGCAACTAACAGCTGGGCAGTTACCTGGGGACGCTGAACTGTCATTAAACAATGACACCTTGGCGGAGCCGGCCATGATGTCACGGCCAGCTCTGCCCAGTTGTTATTCATTGGCCAGGACCTGATAGAAGACTCTAGCAGGTCCCGGCCAATAGGAAACAGTTGGGCGGAGCTAGCTGTCACTGCTAGCTCCGCCCAATTATTTATTTATTTATTTTTCAATAATCTTAATTTTTTTTTCTTTTTAAAAAAAATCTTTATTTCTTTTTTAAAATGTATCATTTATTTACATTTGTTAACCTTTTTTTCTACCTTTTTTTGTGAAAGGGGCCTAATAAAATTAGCATGAAAAAATATGAAGCAGCAATATAAGATAACTATTTTACTTGTGACATTCATAATTTAATGCTGGGTAGCACAGATATATTCTCAACCTTAACTGCAACAGCACCAGCACAGCTTGTTAAAAAACGCCTCCTGTTCAACATATTGCATTCAGTGTTTTTTGACAGATTTAGAAGATTACAACAGCTACAGTTTTAGATGGAACGCAAATTGAATAACAATATATTACAAAATGGCTTGTGCAGCAATTATATATGCCATATTTGTTTATGATTTTTTTCATTATTATTTTTAAAGTAGCGTTTCCCTTTAAAATAAGTAAAAAAAAAACTTTCCATTTTAATATGCACCCAGTATAATTTTCTTATTTTTGCAAAAAAATCATAAAAATTTAGCAACCTGTTGGTGTTCACAAAGCCCCCAGGTGTGACATTTTCTGCTTCTTTGGTGGGATCAATAATTTATTCAAAAATTTGCACTGAGATACAAGTAAACTTTTAGGCATCCCTTGCAATAGGAATTTCAATTTGGTAAAATGAACACAGACTTTCCCAATGTACACAGATCACCCAGAGGGGATTTTTTTTTGTTCAGTGAAATTACGCTTTACATACTGTAAGTCTTTTTGGGTGTCTATTTGAAAACATTTTCCTCACTTTTTGTCTCACTGATATGTTGACAGCCTTTAGGTAACATCAGTTTGAGACCATTCTGAGATCATTCAGAATTTATTGGCAGGTGCATCTGACCTACAGTTGACCTTCTGACCTGCAGCGGACCCCTTAGCTGCATCAACTTGCTTCAAACTGCTTTTGTATTCCAATAGACCTGTATGGGGTTAAAAGTAGTTCTGACAAGAAACAAGCCTGTTTACACTGACCCTAATTGGAGTACAGAAAACAATAAAAATTGCACAGATTGAAAGATATGATTTCTCTTTATGATGACACTTGGTGACATTATGGAGTTTGTTTTACTTGTATTTTTTTTTAATTCCGTTTAACCATTGTAAGGGGAGCTAGGTGGGGAGTTTTGTTACATATGTGCGCTATTTCTGTGTTTGCTTTATTCTTTAATAATAATCTATTATCCAATTCCGTTTGAATTACACTTACATTTATGTATGAATTCAGCTGTACTTTGTTGAATACACTGCAATTGTGGTGGATCTTATTGGTAAATTGTTCTAGAAGGAATTGACACAGTTAGATTTTCTTAGCATATTGCTATTAATGCCCAAAATCAGGGAAGCCTAATGGATGACTTACAAACAAAGCCAATACAAGATAAGAGCCCATGTATATGTACCTATCTTTTTACCGAGTGATCATTTGGCAGTCAGGTCATCCAGGTCTCCATCTTATGGCATTTTAAAGCAATTTTGGTCAAATGCTAAATTCTTGACTTCAAAGAAGAAAATGAATTACTGAAACTCGGCTACTACAAGTACATTATATCATAAGATACTCTTATTTCTTAAATAGTTTTAACATTTTGAGAGATAAAGTACTGTCAGGGGATTACATTTCCAGTGAATGTAAATTGTCAAAATTTGGGTGTCAAAAAAAACAGTAATTTTCTTGTAAAAAAGCCACAACATCTCATCACGCTGAGTACATGTTGAGATTGTACTTTGTATTATTGAATATTGTTACAATTATATTGTAAGGTGTAAGGAGCCACCTCTGAAAGAAACAGTATTGCTAAATCACTGATGTTGGCTATACCCTACACAACAGGTAATTAATTTCTAATGATTTGTGCCAGTTTTGTATCATAATAATACCAATTATGTTTAAGCCCTGGACTCATTCTATTATTCAACATTTTTGGACTTTCATACTGTCTTGTTTGGCACTCTCATTGGACTGTATCTATGCATACATCATCAACCCTGGATTCCCTTGTATGTGTGGATGTCCCGTTTTTGTTGGGAGCGACATCGCTGGAGCCATTGTACTTTATCACATTCTAACCAATGTTCTGAATGTTTGAATTCAGCACCTCACCTGTACATGTTCCTGAATATGATTGGTGGCTGTGGGAAACTGATAGCAGGGAGCCTATTGTAGGAGTTTGAAAAATTTGCAATACAAGGAAACAGGCAGGAGAAAGGGTTTCCCAGGTCACTGATTACAGATAATAGGAAGAATGGTGAGCTGGTGTTTGGATTAAAAACTGAAGTCTGAACAAGGAGTAAATGTTCCCTCTATGCATTTCAAGGCATACATTTTTTTATTTAATTTTTAATTTTGAATGATAGGAACCTTTTATATTAGGGTTTATAATTAAAATTTAGAAATTTATATTAAAAACTTTTTTTTTAGTTTGGATAGGGTAAAGAATGCTTAAGACCCCTGCCAGTTTTTGTTGTTGCTGTTTGTGTGTTGTTGGGGAGATCTTTCCCCTCTTCTTGTCTCAGAGATACAACAGAAAGTAAGAGGAAATGTCTCCAAAGGGAGGATACGTCTCCTTTTAGATAGTTGTCACTGGAATAGGTGTTATTATTGAATGGTTCCCCTCATTTCCTGTTCCTGTGACAACTGTATATTTGTTTTACATTATATACAGGTGACAATGGTGAACAGGACAACGAGAGAGGGTGAATCTCCCCAGCATCGACACAGACAGTAAACAAAAAAAAACTGACAGGGGTCCTTACATTTCCTATTCAATTTATTACAAACAAAAACATCTTTGGCTTTACAAACACTTTAACTACATTAAAACAGAAAATCCTTCCCAAAGAAATGTAATGGCAAATCTATAGTTGTATTTCTTTTGGCAAGTAGTACTTGGTTCTTTCATTTTCTACAAAGCTAGAGTTTATAGTTTTGAAGGCCTTATAAACACAGCTCCAATCCTTTCTATTAGCATTCAGGGCTAGGAGAAGAAGTCAGAAGGCAAATAGAAGTGTGTTTCTGATCCAAGTGCCTCTGCTTTAAACTCCTCTTCCTAACCTACTTTACCTCTTTACTTTTTACTTAACCTACTTTACCTCTGATCTTCAGGATCTTGACTGAGCATTGTATTCAATACTGTCAACACAAGACTTCTGTACTAATACCAAGACACCTCCTTACAGTGAACCTGTGGCCAGGTTATGGACTTTCAAGTAATTAATAATAATGTAATATGTCAAGTAATCACTATATAATGTTTAATTCATAGAATTGTATCTACTATTTGTGTTACTGCATCTTAGAACTTTTCCAGTCCCTGTCACGATAGATACCCAAGTGCGTATTTAGGTTTTATTGTAGTTCAGAAAAACTTAAGCTAAACCTGTGGCCAGGCTATGGACATTCAAATATGCACATATCCCCAATAAGCAGTAAATGAGCTTTAAAATAAGCCCTTATTAACCTATCTAGATGCAGGCACTGTGGAGCAATGTATCCTTATGTTCACGACGAACTGAAATTATTTGTTTTTCGTTTTTCAAGCCATTCTCTCAACATCTAAGGTTTTACTACCCCCCTAGAGTTCCAGCTCCATGATTACTACTAACATCGAGGGGGGTATTTGGGCAGAGTGAACTGTGCTGCTGAGAGAACTTTAAGTTCTTCTGCTGTGAAGATTAATTGCTCCATAGTGCATACATCTAGATAGATCTAGATAGGTTTAAAGCTTGTTTACTTCTGGTCAGGAATAAGTAAATACTTGAATGTCTATAGCCTGGCTACAGGTTCCCTTAACCTTGACTAGATTTTTGGAAACGAGTAGAGGTTTGTTAGCATGTCAGTATAATCTTACCTTTTGTCAGTACATCATTTCAAACATTAGAAGATAATTTCTGCACAGCTATAATGGTTAGATGACTGCATAAAATTCTGCCCTATTATCTAACCTGGTCAGCAGTTCGATAGACCCAGATTTGAATGAATCAATATCACTTATTGGAGCAACAAAACCTCTAATACCTGCGATTAATAAAATGACCTTCCATTTTAATCCACAAATATTGTATAGTACCTGTAGCAGTTATTGTTGTAGTTATTATAACTCCCCAGAGCAGTCAAACATCCCAGACAGATGGCATAGGAAAAGAAGATCTGGGTACCTGCATCCACCCACACCTATGAACCAAAAAAAGAAACAAGAACAAAAAGAAACAGTTGCTTAAAATGAATATGTAACAAATAATGCTAAAAACTAAACACACAAATTGCATTTGTCTGTTCATTGGTTTTTGTAATCAACATTCAACAGCGTAAAAGCTAAGTACATTTTGACCTACTTAAGGAACAAAAAAACTACTTTGCTAAACCTTAAGGACCATTTCTTTTTGCATGAACATGTTCTTCATCAAACTTTAGGGAATTGTACAAAACTATGATTACGTAGTTTTTATAGCTCAAGCTTGTCAATAATGTTGACTAAAGCAATTTAAAAATAGTTCATTTGATGTGATCCAGATTTTAAAATAATTAATTTTATGTGATCCAGAATAGCAAAATAGTATGTCTAAAAAGCATTGTGCGTGAGAATATGTATAATAAAACAGAACGTATGTGTACATATTTTATACTATAAAAACATGTTGTTTCAAATAAAAAATAAAAAGAATCATAAAGTACATGTCCTATGCAGTTAAATGAAGTTAAATAATTGATGGTATCATGGATGAGACTTCAATCTTCAAAGTTCCCAGTCTGTAACTGTCCAGTATACTGTATGTAAAGCAGACATGCATTGAGATTAAAGAGCGATTTATAATGTTTCCCTCTATAGGTTACTATTAAGTTAAGAATCAAAAAAGCACCTCACAGGGTTACTGGTAGTGTACTTTCTGTACTTCCTGAAACCTATAATGTGGAATTTACTCCCTCTCCACTTCCATAATAGTGCATCACATTTGAACATTCAAGGCACATTTTGAAACTGTTTGCTGGGTCTAAACAAACCCTTAGCACTGTTTTTTTCCTTTAGACTTTCTGTATGTAAAAAACATCAAGTCTAATAGGCTATCATATATCGATTCAGCACAATGCTCTATAGATTAAAAAAACATCAGATGTGCATATACATACAAATACACAAGAGGAGCGTACATACAGTAAATGATACCATATGGCATAACAGTGAAGGAAATCCAGAGTGGATCTGGTAGTGATCGCGAGAAAGAGCTCCTCTTCAAATAGCAGTGTTAATGGCAAAGCAAGAGTCAAGCCCATACCAGAAAGAAAGAGAGAAGACAGGAGGTAGACATAGAAGACAACAAGAGGGTGTCAGTCGTCAGCCCTCGGCCCCAGCAAATAAATCCTACAAAAATGAATGTAAAGTTTATAAGTTCAGTAGAGAACAAAAGTAATCTGTAGTACAGAAGTGCCGCCAGATGCTCCTTACATTATTGAGAATTCTGCCAATGTAATTCAGCGGTAGGCTCTTCCATTCGACAAATGGATTGCAACTTAGTTACCCATTCTTTTAGGGAGGGAGGAATACTTGACTTTTTGCAGAAGATAAAGGACCAGGGACAAAAGAAAAAACAGCCAATTGAATTCAACAGGCGTTGCCAACAGCCGATCGTAAGTATCAACAATTCCGTTACAAAAAAGGAGCAAGGAGAGGGCACAACCACCATATGTGCAAAATTGTACCAGGTTGAGATAAACAATGCCAGCAAACAGAGACAGAAGGGTAAATGGAATGGAGTCTGGTGGGGCAATAATACCATGAGGAAATAATTTTATAATTCCCTCCTGGGCTCTACTGGCTATGGACACAGTGGGGGTGATTTACTAACCTAAACACACACACGCACCAGGTGCGTGTGCATTTTTACACAGCAAACCGTATTTATCAATTATATATAAAACAGTATATTTTCATTCTCTTTTTGTTTAAATGTGTGTTTGTAGGTTTATTGGGATGATTGTATAAGTATAATATGAGTATATTACCTTTAAGCGATCATAATACATATACTGTTTTACAAAGAGTTCAGGGTTTTTTTTTGTTATCTCCCTTTAGAAAACAAGATCTATCTCTATCTATCTATCTATCTATCTATCTATCTATCTATCTATCTATCTATCTATCTATCTCTCTAGAAATTTCCTTGCACATAATTGGGTGTTCTATGCAAAGCAAATTTAACCAGTCACTAAGCTAAGTAAAAATTCCCTTGCAAAGTAAAAACGTATAAATACCGTAAATGCAATGTAATTTCAGTACTTAAAAATAAATATACCACTATTCATTGTTCTGTGGTGAATGACAGTCCTTAATTGTGGTTCCTTATTGTCAAAACAGATCTGTTACTTTGATAGAGTAGCTCCAAATGATTGAACTACTTTTTTGACTATGGAAGCAATAGAAAAGTTTGTACTCTGGGGTGGAGATTGCTACCAGTCCACATCTCTTGTTGAAACGCTATAAAATAATATACTAATTGTATCGGTTTATTTTCCACAATGACTTCTGAGTCCCACTTATACATGAAGGCATTAGCTATACTTGGGGCAAACTTTGCTCCTATGGCAACGCCAGTATTTTGTTTATAAAATTTCTCTCCAAACCAAAAATAATTATGAGATAAACTGAAACTCAGAGCTTCTAAAATAAATTCCTTCTGTTCCATTGGTAGACAGTTATCCTTCTGTAGTAACCATTTAGTTGCTGATAAGGCTTCTATGTGATCAATGATTGTATAGAGTGATGCCACATCCGCAGTGATAGATTTTCTCAATATTTATAGTAACTAGCATATCAAGTTTTATTTTGTGTAGTTTAATATAAACCAGAGCTTCTCAATGCCCTCTAGAACACTGCTGGTGTTTTTCAATTTGCAGATTGTTGTGATGGAATATTTTTACTTGTAACTATCTGCTGTAGGCAGTAAGCATCAATTAACTGTTCTGTAAGGGGCTAGGGCTACATCTTTACTACTGATAGATTTAACTATTCATTGACAGTATCATCATTTGCAATGCAATAAAACATGTAGTTACTGTATCACCTCAGTAGCAAAGAGATTTATTGGCCAGTGTAGTCTTAGCCTTAGTCAGAGGTCTTGTCAGATTAGGTAGCTACCTGGTCTCTGGTGATGCCTGAAAAACTACAACAACTTTAAAGGTCAACTGCACCTTTGTACAATTGTAATACAAAAATGAGGAACCATCACACAAACTGGGACACCACCCCTATATATGCAATATATATCAAAAAAAGGGGGAAAGGGAAAGAAAGGGGCTTTGTGGTGACCACTGGAGAATAGTAGGGAATTGATCCAATAATAAAGTCAATTGATTCATATATATAATAAAATTCCATTTTTAATATACTCAATTCATAATGTCTATACATATAAATATGCTAAAATCCATCCATATAAAAAAACCATAAATAGATGTATACAACATAAATAACCTCCCTGGAACCCACAGATAGGACTATCTGCCCACGTTAGATGCCGTCAATGGGACGACATGGGGGTTGCATAGTGGGAGCATGGAGGGGGGACAGTTGGAGGTTCTGAGAAAAGGAATTGCCCCTGACAGTCCGAGGAGTTTCACCAGTACAAGGTACGATTGGGATGGATGCTTGGCTTCCTTGCTTTCGGACTGCCTCCCCCCGGCGCTCCTGTCTCCTGGTTGGGTGGGGAGACTCCCTGCAGATGGATATTCAATTACCGGAAAAAGAATAATTAAGTTAACCTCTCCAAATCTTCCTGACGAAGCCTCGGCGAAACGCGTTGAAGACTGGAGCAAGCACAGAATCATGGGTGAACTAATGATATATAGAACAATTATGTACAATTAATCATGCAAATAAGATATGAATACAATGAGGGCAATGACCAATATATTAATTTATAATCATGGTTTCTGTGTGGGTTCCAGGGAGGTTATTTATGTTGTATACATCTATTTATGGTTTTTTATATGGATGAATTTTAGCATATTTATATGTATAGACATTATGAATTGAGTATATTAAAAATGGAATTTTATTATATATATGAATCAATTGACTTTATTATTGGATCAATTCCCTGCTATTCTCCAGTGGTCACCACAAAGCCCCTTTCTTTCTCTTTCCCCCTTTTTTTGATATATATTGCACCTTTGTACAGTTGTCCTATAATAGGTTTCCTCCCACAACCTTAGGTGCTGCCCACTAGGTGAAATACTTACCTTCAACCCATATTCCAGGGATTTGTATTGTTCATATATGTGCTGCAGGGTTCTATTAATTTCTATGGGAAAGCTGTACTCATAGCAGCCTCAAATTGTCTAGCATACACAGTATGAATTGTAAATTTTTGGGAGAAAGCTTGTGCAGCTCTAAGTGGGCCGCAAAGTAAAGAACATTGTATCAGGCTGGAAGGTATGTATTTTGCCAAGTGGGCAGAATGCAAGAGGGTAGTCCTTATTGTTGTCCGTTAAATAATCTGTCCAACTGAACATTTAGAAAAAAGAGGGGTAACATTACAATCTTGTTCACTTCTTGGTAACCATGACATTTTGAGGCACAAAGTAAAGCCCTAGTGGTAATCTACAATTATGAGATAATTTTTCAATGTTACTAGTAAATTAATTTATACTGAAAGCAAGAGTGTAACTCTAGCCATAGCAGACCCCTCAACTACTATTGGGCCCAAAAGCACACAGGCCCTCATCTGTCTGACTTATAGAGTGATTTAGGCAGGTAACAGTAGCATATGGCACATACATTTGGATAAATGAAATGTATGAAACGTTTGTGAACCACTATATGACCGCAATGAAAACAGTTTTAATTAACACTAGAAGTGTTGCGTTTGAGATGGAAATTAGAGAGATGGGGGACCCTCTATTGGACCCCATCACACATAGATACAGCGCTGACTGGAATTGTGGAAAACATGTATTTATAAGGTTCTTAATGAGTAGTTATACCCCTTGCAGTCCGCCCATCGGAAAAATATGGGCGGACGGCGTATCATTCCCGGTGGTTGGATGTACATGTACGTTATTTTTTTCTACTCGTGTGCGCCCCCTAGCGGGCGTGCGTGAGCTGAATCCCACCGGGGAGGTTAACAGCCATTACCAGCTGTTTTCTACAAGCATTCGGCCGGCTCTATAGTCGGCTG